AAAAAAAATTGTGAAAAATTCTCTGTGCTTTAGTTGTGGTAAGTTGTTTTGTTACTACATCTTTTCGTACGTTATTTTTGTCCAAACGAAATGGAAGGGAGCGAGAGGCCTCCCCCTAAAGTGTCCCGGTTTGGCAACAGAGATATCTGGATATCCCTATCTCGATTTCGGAGGCTAAATTCGAAAAAAGGAGAAACTAATTATGATTCAATCTCTTAAAAAAGTTGGTTTTGACAAATACCCAGCGAAGCTGTGTACAGTGCAATAATCAATCGTCAGTAAAAATCAAGTAATAAAAACATTTGCAAAGAAATAAAACTCAAAAATTAATTATTATACACATGTAAACTACTTTTACTTAATTTCTAGTTAGTATTTAGTTCTAAGATATAACTCTAGTCGAACACACCAAGTAGATGGTGTAGTGTGTTCGGGGCATTATGTACATAGTATAACAGTTAAGATGACACTTGTGAAGAGAAACGATTAGAAACAAAGAAACGAAGTAAATACAAAAAGTTAAGCGGCAAATCATTGTGCTGAGGAAAATTAATAAATTACAAATTATAAGCTTTAAATGTCGTTTCTCTTTATAGGTAAATAATTTAAGTAAACTATTGTGATAAGAATCAATATTAAATAATATAAACACTCTTTATAGAGAAACCCAATTGAGTTTATACATTTGTTGCTGTGTTAGGCGGATCGAGTTAAACAAACATTACAAAACGACATTTTTGCTAACATTTGAAGAATGGAGAAGCTTAAATTCGAATTTTTGGTAAAATCTGCTGAGGACGGAAAAACGAATATAATGGCGATAACCACAATCACCACAAGTGATGATAGAGTTTTTAAAATACCAGCAGAAATGCAGCCAGCAAGTTTACATGAACAATTAATAAATACACCAACTTATACAAAAATAAAAAACACATTAAAAAGGAGACACCAAACAAGAAAAGTATGGATAAATGTAACGGAAGATTTAGCCGAAATTTATATGGATGATGATGGAAATATGCAGTTCAAAGATTACTTTCTTGAAGAGATACCGCCAACAAATCCCACTGCAGGTATTTCAGAGGAGTCACTGTCGAAAGTTTTAGAGAAGCTGAGTGCAGATGAATACCCTAATTTAAAGAAAATTGCTGAAAAATTTGTGCTAGAAAAATTCTCAGCCAAAAACTCAAATGCTAACCAATGGATGACCATATTTGAAAGTGAGTGCGACCGCTTTGACATATGTAAAGATGAGGAGAAAATCGAAGTCTTGAGACTTTTCTTAGAAAAATCATGCTTGGATTGGTACAGCTCTATGCTTATTAAATTATCGTTAGCTTCTGAATGGGGAAAGTGGAAAAAAAACTTTTGTGGCACCTATGCAAATAAAGGATGGGCTGCGAGCAGATATGCAATCTCATTCAGATATAAAACAGGTTCACTTTTGGATTATGCTTTGAAGAAAGAAAGACTTTTATTAGAAATAAGAAAATCAATTGACACAGGGACATTAATTGATCTTATTGCAGAAGGGTTACCACATTATATAGCCGACAGAATAGATAGAGAAAAAGTAGTTAATACAGAAGAACTTTACAGTGAGATTAGAAAACTTGAACATTTAGTATCCAGAAAAACTATAGATAGAAAGAACGTATCAGCTTCTTATTCGAAAGAAAAAGAAGCATTTGAAAAGAAAAAACCATGCAAAATCTGCGAAAAAGAAAACAGAGGTACTCGTTATCATACAGAAGCTACATGCTGGTTTAAAAATCAAAAAAGTGAAAAAGAGATAAAACATGTTAATAATAATGAATTGGAATGGGAATTAAATGATATGGATCCAAAAAACTTGTAGTGCCACCATTGATCAAAGTTAAATTATTAATAAATGGAATTATTGAAGTATATGGAATTTACGATTCTGGTTCGAATGTATCTTTAATAAATTCGCGTTTATTACGCTTTAAACCAAAAAATAGAGATTTTTATACTGCAAATTTGAAAACGATCAATGGTACAAAAAAGGCTGAGGGAATGATAACTATTAAAACTAAAATTTTTGACATTGAAAAAGAAATACAGGTTTTTGTAGTAAACGAAAAAAATTTTAGCTACGATTTTCTGATTGGATTAGATTGCATAAAATCATTCAAATTAATACAAAATGAAAACCTAATTATATCCCAAAAATGTACACCTTGTAGAAGCAAACTCTCAGAACTACCTTCGAAGTCGAGAAATGAAAATTTAAATATAAGTAATTTCTATAGATTTCACCGTCATGATAATCATAATGAATGCGAATTAAATTTCAACGAACATTTCGATACAGATAATTGCGACATTTCGGTTCAACATTTAGACGTTACAGAAAAGTCAGAAATAAGTAAACTAATAGAAAAATATAAAACTTTATTCGCTAAAGATAAATATGACATCGGTACGGTAAAAGATTACGAGGCACGTATAGATCTACTAATAGATAGGTATTGTAGTAAAAGACCATATAGATGCACGATTGAGGATAAGAAAGAAATAGAAACACAAATTTCAAAATTATTGGAGAAGAATCTGATAGAAGAGTCGTATAGTCCATTTGCGGCTCCGGTAACATTGGCTTTTAAAAGAGAAGAAAATAGGAGAACAAGATTATGCATAGACTTTCGCGATTTGAATAAAATTGTAGTTCCACAATCACAACCATTCCCATTAATTGAAGACTTGGTAGATAAAACACGAAACTGTAAATTTTTCTCAACGCTTCATATAAACTCAGCGTTTTGGTCAATTCCATTAAGAATCGAGGACAGACATAAAACAGCTTTCGTAACACAAGAAGGACATTTTCAATGGACGTGTTTGCTCTTTGGCTTGAAAACATCGCCAGCAATTTTCCAAAGAATTTTAAGTAACATAATAAGAAAACATAAGCTTAGTGAATTCGCGGTTAATTACATAGACGACATTTTGATTTTCTCAAAATCTTTCGCAGAACATATGTCACATTTGTCATTATTGCTTGAAGCAATATCGAAAGAAGGCTTCAGATTAAAACTATCGAAATGCACTTTCGCAGCAGATTCAGTTAAATATTTAGGTCATATCATCAAAGGGAATTCAATTAGCCCCTTAAAAGATAATTTGATATCAATAAGAGATTTCCCAACACCAAAAACAAGAAAAAATGTAAGACAGTTTTTAGGGAAAATAAATTTTTACAATAAATACATACCAAATATTTCCATAACACTGGACCCTTTGCATAACCTTCTCAGAAAAGATCAAAATTTTGTGTGGTCGGAAAAATGTCAAAAATCATTTGAAGAGATGAAAATACTACTTTGTTCTCAGCCTGTTCTAGCAATTTTTGATCCAAAGTTACCAATACATATATATACCGACGCAAGTCTGCTAGGAATCGTAGCCGTTTTAAAACAACCCCAAGAAAATAATGAAGAAAAGCCGGTGGCCTATTTTTCCAAGAAACTTAATGAAGTACAAAAAAGAAAAAAAGCTATTTACTTGGAATGCCTTGCAATAAAAGAGGCAGTAAAATACTGACAACATCGGCTTATAGGGAGAAAGTTCATAGTTTTCACGGACCATAAACCCTTAGAAAAAATGAATGTAAGAGCTAGAACAGATGAAGAGCTAGGAGATTTAACATACTACCTGTCACAATATGATCTTGAGATCAGATATTCTCCAGGAAAATATAACCTAGAAGCAGATTGCTTAAGTAGAAATCCGGTGTTAGAGTCACACGAAAATAATGACGAAGAATTAAAGGTTGTAAATTTAGTTACACTAGATGCCATACAAAAAGATCAAGAAAAAAATTTTGAATTACGACATAAAAACCACATCAACTTCAAAAACAATACCAATTACCAAAAAGTCGGAAAACAAGAAAAAATTGTACTGTCTGAACCATTTAGCATAAGATTAATAAAAAGTACGCATGAATATTATTGCCATATAGGTACAAAACAAACGCAGGATAAGATCAGACCATTCTATACAGCAAGAAATTTAACAAAAAATATAAAGAAAATTTGTGATAGTTGTGCAATATGCATAAAGAACAAATCAAGAGGACAAAAGAAGTACGGGCAGTTGTCTCAATTAGGTCCTGCCACTACTCCGTTCGAGATCGTTTCCATAGACACAATAGGTGGATTTGGGGGTTCACGATCAACAAAAAAAATATTTACACTTGTTAGTGTAAAATAAATATAATAATAAATTACAAATTATAAGCTTTAAATGTCGTTTCTCTTTATAGGTAAATAATTTAAGTAAACTATTGTGATAAGAATCAATATTAAATAATATAAACACTCTTTATAGAGAAACCCAATTGAGTTTATACATTTGTTGCTGTGTTAGGCGGATCGAGTTAAACAAACATTACACACATTTTAATTTTTTTTGGTTAAACTCGAAAAATATAAATCTTTGAATTTTACAACAGAATATACATATGTACATACATATAAAGAAAAGCATGTGTGGGCAATCGGGCGACGCACAGTGGTTGCTGCCATAGGTCAAAATTAAAAAAATGTATGTAAAAATTTTTACACCAAAATAAGCTTTGCAATCAGTTTTTTGTCCAAACTTCATGTTGTCATATATTTTTTGCAGAGAGCTGCATGGATACACCCAAAATACATTTTAAGTCACTCGCTTTCTTTTCACATCTTCACACACTCGCACTCATTTATTTCCAAACATAACGTGCGATAGCATTGAAAAAACATTGTCAATTGAGTGAGTAATTCACACTATCAAGTGCTCGATTCAAATAGCAAGTGCTTGATTGGAAAAACAAGTGCATGCCATAACTGCTGTAATGAAAGTATCAAAGAAAAACAATTTGTAAAGACAATATTTGTTAATTTTATTGGTTTTCTAACTGCGTATTATAATGCAAAAATATGAACTGATTAAGGGCATCATCATTTGACAAAAGGTGGCATCTTTAGTCAGAAATAACATTTCCAGCAGAAGAAAAAACTCTTTCTGACGATGCGCTAGCTGAAGAAGTGGCTATTACTCTACGACTGAGTTTATGCAGCAGCGGCATTTCGTTATGTGTACCTCCCACCAATTAATTATATCGAAGTCCGTGTGAAAATATACCTCAATATTTTCATATCGCCGCAGCTCTGCAGTAGCTTTATCAGTTCTGCTCACAAAGGTAGGTTGTTTAAGAAGACCTGAAAACAGCTCAAAGTTGTCTGAAGGTAACAAAGGTGTATACGCAATTTGTGGTTCCGTTGTACTGTCAGAATTCTCAGTTAACGTTCTCATAATTTGTAAACATTTCTCTTTTGTGTATCTTTGCTCAGATTCGGTAAAGTTCTTGAGCTCTTTTGCTGGCGGGTATAAAAAAGCGCAATTTTGTGCAAATCTGTTAAGTTTTCAACAGCAACTGGTTTTAAATAATAAAGCAACCTATTTTTCAAGTCTCTTATAAAGCCGATGTCTTCTGAGGTAACAGTGCATTTCTTTTGTAAACTAGTTATATAAATGTACGTCAGGAGGATAATTAAATAATTTACCAAAACTAATATATTTAAAAAAATACTTCATCAATATCCATTTTTTTTTCAAAATTGTCGTATTCTCTACTAATTGTTTGAAGTCAATGAGTGTCATTCGATTGCTCGACTTGCTTTTCATAACAGCGTTTTTCACTCGCATGACTTGGTTTGGAAAGAGTATATCAATGCCATATTTGAAATCAAATGAGTACACTGCAGCTAAACATTGATTTCAAAACTAACTATGTCTCACTGTTTGTACGGTGTTTCTCACTACCCGTATACAGTTCACAGCAATGAGTTCATACTATTTAGATGGAAGTGAGTAAACTCATGCTGTTGTCTGATTTTGTTTTCATTCTAACGGTTGTTTCTGAAAAAAGCAACAAAAGTGTCATCAATTGTTCATTTTATTTGTACAGCGTCAGCACGCTGAAAATTGAATTGGATTTAACGTAATTAAAATATTGTGAAAAGCCGAGTGAGTTAAAATTATATGCAATGGTATGTTTGTACATAAAGGTATTGACTTTATTTCTACAATTAAACTTTTAAATAATTCGTGTTGCGTTCTATGCAAATCGTTGTTTTAGAAAAGTAGGATTTTGTGTGTTTCTTGGTTCATCTTTCAAGTATTTAGGCAATTTTTTAAGTGTGTTTCCCCCATCGGCCCTCAATATTTTTATTTACATATTGTTTGTTAATATTTTGAGATTATAAAAGTGTTCAGTGTAGATGCATTGACCTGCAGAGGCTCGCGTAGTATTCCATAACCTAATCCAAGCTCTTTATTTTCTACAGTTGTTTTCATATTTATTTTTTGATTTATCTAATTCAAAATGTTTCTAGGCAAAAGATAACACTGCGAATTTTCTCGATTGCATGTTTTTGAGATTTGGCGTGAAAATTTCCGTACGCATTCCCAACAAGTTCAAAATTTGCTGGGTGCAATAGCGAAGGATATTGAATATGAGGGTTTTGAGCCAGATCGGTATGAGTTGCAAAAATGTATTAATTACGTTTGTAAAAATTTTCATTGTTTTGGCAAAGATCCAAAAGCCAAAAATCAGCAGTTTTGAAAAATCATTATAATTGGCTCGAAAAGAAAGAAATCATTTCATGAAAATGCCAACCAACAGTTTCCACCAATTGAAATCCGCCCGAAAATAGATTTTGTTGAGTCTTCAAAAAGACTAAGCGTCGACGAACATATCGGGATAAAATGTTTACTCTAAGGTCTGTTAAGAGTAAAAACTGTAATATGTAAAGGTGGGCGGGGTTGGACACGCCCACATACAGTCATGTGAAAAATAATAGGGACACGACATTGCGACAAGTTTCGGCTATTTTTGTTTTTTTGTTTGTTTAATGTTTACTTTTTTATAAAAATACAACTCACTATCTAACAAAAACCAAATTTCAAACTTTGTAAAAAAATAGAAAAATTCAACAAAATTTTAAAGTCACGCCAAACTTTTTAAATAAGAACTTTTAGAAAAAAGGTATGTATGCAGTTTTATAGCCCACTGAACTCTAGCTCAAGAAAGTGCAAGTTTTAAGTGCGTAGAAATCGCTTTGATTTTTGATAGTTTTTTTCCTGACGGTGTCACGCATTTTCTTCCATTCAAAGTATGTTTGACGATTTTTTTTTTATGGAAGCAAAGTAACACCATCCGCTACAAAAAAAAACAAATAACAACAATCAACGCAAATTTTTAGCCACTTTAAACTTGCAATTTCTTCAGCTAGAATTTAATGGGCTATAAAACTGCACACATATTTTTTCCAAAAGTTTCTAAAGGTTTGTGGTGTTTTAAAATTTTGTTGAACTTTTCCACTTTTTTACAAAGTTTGAAATTTGGACTTATGTGGTTTTTGTTAGATAGTGAGTTGTATTTTTATAAAAAATAAACATTAAACAAACAAACAAAAAAATAGCCGGAACTGGTCGCAATGTCGTGTCCCTATTATTTTTCACATGACTGTATGTGGGCGTGTCCAACCCCGCCCACTTTTACATATTACAGTTTTTACTCTTAACAGACCTTAGGGTAAAAATTTTATCCCGATATGTCCATTAAAAGTATTTTTGCCCGCTGTCCCCATATAAATGCAACCACTGTGCGACGCTTAGAATATGTTGACTTTAAAATTTAATTTCTGAATGACTTTTTTTCAAAATATATGAAGTAATTAAATATTAAGGGTATCAAAAGCAAGGAATTTTTCGATCATAAATCATTTTAAATATATTGTTACCTTAATTCACAAGGCCCTAACCAACACTATTTTCGAAACTGCGTTTTTCACAGATTTTGGTGGGATATATTAAAATATACATTCAATAAAAATTTTAAAGTTTTAGTACCAAAAACAACGGGGTTACATGCCACTTGTTAAAATGTCCTACCTGTTTTTGATATTCTTTTTATAATGTTTTCTGCTTCTCCTGTAAAATAAAAAAAAATTTTGGTTACGGCCTTCGTGAATTAAGGTATGTATGTAACTACCCTCAGTTTCAAGCAAGGTGTATTAAACAAGGTGTGATTGACAACTCAGTGCGGCTCTCTTTTAAGGTACTATAATGTCAAAAAGTATAAACAAACGAATTAACCCTTAGTGATGCATGTATCTTGTCAGCACTGATGCCCTAGGCCTTTATTTCGATTATAGTTTTGTTTTACTTACATTACATATATTTTGTCAAAAAAATAAAACAAATTGTTTATAAAATCGTTTTAGCAATTTTCTTGTTTTTAATTGCCCAAGTTTTATGCTTTGGTGCGTTTATTTTTATATTTAAATTTTTTATCCTAAACATTATTCGACACTTATAAAAGTATGCTTTTACATTTGTTTCCAATTATATATTTGAGCTTAACTCTAACAATTTTGAAATTAAATTTTTTTTCATGCGAAATAGTTTTCCATTAAATACTTTGTTTCGAGCGGTTTTAATTTAAGCTCTTCCATACTTGCTTGCATGGTTTTAATTATTTCGGTAAGCCGAAATATTTCTGTTCACAACGTGCATTCTAAAGAGTCGTCTGTTTGAGTTTGGGCTCAACAAAGAATGTATCCTGATCGTGTACTAAATCCTCACTTGTATCAGTTATTTCGTATGGCATTGGGACTGCGCCTAGGTATATACGAGCTCGTTTGAAAGTGCTTGATTTGGACGGACAACTAATGAAATCACTTTCCTTGAAGTGGTTTACACAAACGCGAGATGAATCACGTAGTACAACACCACAGCTTTCTTCCCATCGCTGCCGTCTTAATTCGCAACTAGGTGGTTTAAAACATCGCACTATTTTCGTGTCCTGACTTTTATCAAATTTGAAAAAAACACATTTTCAAATGGGTTACCAATTCATTTCAATTTGACATTATAGCCTGTTTCGTATGAGAGCAATGTCAAAATCAATCACACTTTGTTGAATACATTTTGGTTTCAAGTAAAGGAGAAAACTAATAAGTTAAAATCATGCGACTAAATCTGAAAAGAAAATTAAAACTGGTATATTCACAGCGAAGCGAATCCAGGGTTTGACAAGACTTAGATCTTATCGAGTTATAAAATATAAAAGTTCGATTAACGAAATCTATATATATAAAATTCAAATTATGTATGTACCTATAGACACACT